ACCCTCCCTGTGTCCCCATGTCCAGCCAAGCTAGCCATCAGACAGTGTCAGTCCCTCACAGCAGGTGTGCCCCTGCCCCGGCCCCTGAAGCCCACAGACCATGGTCCTTCCTCTACAACTCAGTGCCAACTCTGCATCTCTTATGTGGTGTCTTTCCCTTCGGAGTAGTACCTCAAGTCCCTGTGGTCTCCCGACAAAGGAGACCTCCATCCCTAGAGGGCAGGTTCCTCACTCACCTGAATGTGTTCTTCCTCTGCCACCCTCCCAGTGAGGAAAGAAACCCCTCTTTCCTGTCTCTTGTCTCAAAGAAGGAGGAAGTAAAAGTTGAGACATAGTAGGCATGAGGTCAGTGGCCTGGAGATTAAAGATTAAAACCTGGAGATTAAAGATTTAAATCTTGGCTGGGCACGGTGGCTCACATCTGTAATCCTAGCACTTTGGGAGGCCAAGGTGGGTGGATCGCCTGAGGTCAGGAGTTTGAGACCAGCCTGGCCAACATGGTGAAACCCCATCTTTAAAAAAAATAAAAAATAATTAAAAAATAAAAGATTTAAATCTCAGGCGATCTTAAGGGCGGGGGCAATATGGAGAAATGCCCTCTATTGTTGCCATTCAATCTCGCTCAAACCCCCACACTTCATGGATCACGACCCCCTCACAGGTACTTTCTAAAACTATAAGCCCAAGACCCTTTCCAATGTAATATCTCGAGTTGTAAGCCTATATAAACGCAGAGGTGCCCTTTGTTAGATGCACTTGGCTGTTAGGCAACTATGCCACCTTGCTCCTGGCCAAATAAGTCACCCCTTCCTTCCCAGTTGAGTGTTCAAGAGGTCTGTTTCTCTCGGCCACTCCTGCTTCACCAGCACCGGCCACAGGCCAGGCACATGGGGTTGCATGAGTCAGAGGGACTCTTTTTTTTTTTTTTTTTTTTTGAGACGGAGTTTCGCTCTTGTTACCCAGGCTGGAGTGCAATGGCACGATCTCGGCTCACCGCAACCTCCGCCTCCTGGGTTCAGGCAATTCTCCTGCCTCAGCCTCCTGAGTAGCTGGGATTACAGGCACGCGCCACCATGCCCAGCTAATTTTTTGTATCTTTAGTAGAGACGGGGTTTCACCATGTTGACCAGGATGGTCTCGATCTCTTGACCTCGTGATCCACCCGCCTCGGCCTCCCAAAGTGCTGGGATTACAGGCTTGAGCCACCGCGCCCGGCCCCAGAGGGACTCTTTTTAAATATGGTAAACTACATTTGAACATCTAAGTTTTAATTTTCTTTTTAAACAGTTTAATAGTCTCAATAACATTAAAGAAAAAAAAAAAACCCTTCCCAAGTATATAATCAAGAGAGTATATTGAAATATGGTGATTCACATTTTCAGAGTTTTGGCATGGTCTCCATGCCTGTAATCCTAGCACTTTCGAAGGCAGAGGCAGGATTGCTTGAGACCAGGAGTTTCAGACCAGACTGGGCAACATGGCAAAGCCCTGTCTCCACAAAAAATCAACCAGGCCTGGTGGCATGCATCTATAGTCCTAGCTACGTGGAAGGCTGAGGTCGGAAGGTCACCTGAGCCCGAGAGGTCAAGGCTGCAGTGAGCCATGATTGTGCCACTGCACTCCAGACTGGACAACAGAGTGAGACCCTGTATTAAAAATAAAAATAAAAAAAACTTAGAAGTTAAAATCTTGAGCCGGGTGCAGTGGCTCATGCCTGTAATCCCAGCACTTTGGGAGGCCGAAGTGGGTGGATCATGAGGTCAGGAGTTTGAGACCAGCCTGGCCAACATGGTGAAACCCCATGTCTACTAAAAATACAAAAACAAGCAGTGGTGGGTGCTTGTAATCTCAGCTACTTGGGAGGCTGAGATAGGAGAATCACTGGAACCCAGGAGGCAGAGGTTGCAATGAGCCGAGATCACACCACTGTACTCTAGCCTGGGTAACAGAGCAAGACTCCATCTCAAAAAAAAAAAAAAAAAAAAAGAAGAAGTTAAAATCTCAAGTCTAAATTAATTCCTCAATTTTACAAGGCTGGCGTATGACTCTTACGGGACACATTATCCAAAACATAATAAATGCCGAAAAAACCATTTGCACATGTTTCACAATGCTAAAATTGTGGGTTTGATTCTCATCAACATCTGGATAAACAATTCTACAACTTTGTCATCAATATGTTATCAGAGTTACCTTTCCAAGGAATATTGGGTTAGGTTCTTGACTGGTGGAGCATCTGATGTCTGGAGTGGCCCTGCCCGCAGCCAGGCAGGAGGCTGATCCTGCTTCACAGTTACTCTGCCAAGTTTTTTCACATAGCAGGAGAAGAGCCCTCCTATGCAAGTTCCCTGGACATTGGTCACATGTCACCTAATTCCTAACTCTTTTCACTGAAAGTCCTCGGCCCTCTTCTGGTGGCTGCACACTTCTGTCCCACTGGGCTATTTAATGCTTCCTTTATTTCTGTTTACCCCACCCCCAAGGCCTTCCTATCTGTTAGCAGAGCCAATAGATATTTAAATGACATCTGTCTCACTCTCTGCAACCTAGTGACACCTGACTGTGGCTGCTTGGTAATGGTAGGCCCCTGAGCCCTGGTCATCTGTCCCTGAAAAGCTGTACCAGCTTTAACACAATTGTGCTGTCTAGTGGCTCCAGCTAGATATCCAGCAGCGTGGACAGGATGACAGGATGTCCCAGCCCCTCTCTGTATCCCCAATACAAAGCTGTGTGGGGAAGCATCTCCCAAAGCCAGCCTCCCCGCAACACACCCTCACCCAGTATGCTCAGACATCCCTGCATCCCTCCCTCCAGTCACTCCAGATGTTGAGCTGGGGACCAGAAAAGGGGGTATCCTCAGGCACCAGCCTCTCTGGAGTGCGAGGGAGCTGTGGGGAGGGGATTCTCAGCCTGACCATCCACACCCAGTCAAAGAGGGTGAGGGCATGGGAAGCACCCAGCCCCAGAGCAGATGTCCTCCTCAGCTGGAGAAGTGGGCTGGTAACAGAAGGAGTAGGCCTGGGAAGGTGGGTGGCCCACCCACCATCCTCTGTCTTGCTTAAAGCAACCCTCCCAAGGAACGTGTATCACAGGCCCCGACTGGATAATCGCCAAAAAAGCTGGTGAATGTCCAGTAGGCAGGAGGCGGAGGGTCGGGGACTCTGAGGCACACTTCTTGGGCCAGAATCTGTTTTGCCACCAAGCAGCAGCATGACTTGGGAAACTCAATTCTTTCTATTTTGGGTGTTCCCCATCCCCATTTTTATTTTATGAAATTAATTTTGATGTGATATTATTAAATGAAATTAAATGTCAAAACTGTAGATATTGAAATGTGCACCCTTGCCATCAGGGAAATGCAAATCAAAACCACAATAAGGTACCACTTCCCATCTGCGAGGATGGCTGTGAACAAAAAGATGGACAGTGACAAGCATGGGGGGACGTGGAGAAGCTGGACCTCTCATGGACTGCCAGTGGGAACGTAAAATAGTACGGATGGAAAATATGGCAGTTCCTCACAACTAAACATAATATTGCCACATGACCTAGGCGTATACCTGTGAGAAATGAAAACGTATGTCAAAAAATAAAAAATAAAGGAAGAAAAAAGAAAATTTAATGTCCACACAGAAACTTGTACATACATGTTCATAGTAGCAGCATTCACAGCAGCTAAGGAATAGAAATAATCCAAACATCCATCCGTGAATGAATGGACTTTAAAAAATAGTAGATCCATAGGACAGAGTATTATTAAGCCATAATAGGGAGTAGGGGCTGGACACAGTGGCTCACGTCTGTAACCCCAGCACTTTAGAAGGCCGAGGCAGGTGAATGACTTGAGGTCAGGAATTCAAGACCAGCCTGGCCAATATGATGAAACCCGTCTCTACTAAAAATACAAAAATTAGCCAAGCCTGGTGGCGAGTCTGCAATCCGAGCTACTCGGGAGGCTGAGACAGGAGAATTGCTTGAACCCAGGAGTTGAAGGTTGCAGTGAGCCAAGATCACCCAGCTGCACTCCAGCCTGAGTGACAAAGGGAGACTAAAAAAAAAAAAAAAGTGGAGTACTAAAACATGCTACAACATGGATGAACCTTAAACATATACGTGAAATGAAACAAGACAGACACAGACAATCACATATTGTTCGATTATGTTTATATGAGATAGTCAAAAGAGGCAAATCCAGAGACAGCAAGTAGGTTAGTGCCTCCTAGGGTTGGAAAAATGGGAGAATATCAGGGTGCTAGCTAACAGGTACAGAGTTCCATTGAGATAATATCCTATAAGTAACTACTAACGGTTACACATGTCTGTGAATATACTAAAATCCAGTGTATTATAAACAGCAAATGGGTGAATTATATGATATGTGAATTATATCTCAAAAAAATTAGAAAAAATGCACCCAGAGAAAGAAGTCTCTCACTTTCACCTCCATCCTGTCTGCCCATATCCATGGGGCTTCTTTTTGAAAAAATAAGCAAAGTATATATATATACCCACACTCTAAAATACTCCCTACTTTTTTCTCAACCAGTATTGTCTTCCATGTACTGCTTAGTGTCTTCCGTTTTTTCCTTTCACTTAACAGTCCACCCCAGGGCTGTCAGCATCTCCGGAGAACGAATAGCGCTTCTCCGTGGAGATGTTCGCCTCCTGGACGGCGCCCCAGGACAACCTTGCCTACAAGTTGCTTCCTGTCTCTACAGGAGATCCCTGTGGGAGGCCTCCCAGATCCAAGGGCAAAGGCATTCCGGGCTTGGCAGATGAGGCTACCTGTCCATTCACCTCCCCACCCACCATCCACGCACACAGGAGCCCCGCCTGGTGCCCTCCAGCCACGCAGTAGGTCTTTGACTCTCCACAGAGGCCTCCCTTTGTGTGTTTGTCCGTGAACCGGGCTGCGGTGGATACAGGTCTAGCACTCAGAACGGTGCCTGCGCCACAAGGAACATGATCTCAGTGGGAGCTCTCATCATCACCCCCCTCACCTGCAAGGCCAAAGCAGATACGCCTGGCTGAGCAGCTCTGCCTTTGCTTCCTCTCTGGTCTTGGAGTGCCGAAGCAGCTGCAGCTACGACCCCAGAGCTCAGCGGGGTTGAGTCTCGAGACACGGCGTGTAGGGGATACTAGAGAAACAGTGAGAGGACCGAGGGTCAGGGTGCTGGGATGAGGCTGGATGGCCCGCACCTTGCCCTGGCACTGACACACCCTGGCGGTGGGTGCATCCTAGGTCTTCGGGGGACGGGGGAAGGGTCCGGGAGTGACGGGGTGGGCGCTCTTTAGTCGGGTTTAGAGGAAGGCCTCTCAGGGGAAGCACTGGAGCAGAGGCGTCCAGGGAGCGCGCAGCTCACCTCCGCATCTGGACCGGGACGTGCAAAGGCCGAAGGCCCGGCCCGTTGGGTGCGGACAGAACGCCGCAGGCAGCAGGGAGGCCCCGAAGACTCGGCGGGGTGGGGGCTGGCGGGAAGGTAGGGGCAGGGCGAGTTCTGGCAGAGCCGCAGGTGCCAGGCGGGGTGGGGTCAAGAGGCCGCTGGAGCGAGAGGGGAAGCCCTCTGCGGGTTCGCCTTGGACGGGGCCCGCGCGCCCGCCTGCAGGCTCGGAGGCTCTCCCAGGCTGCGGCCCGTCTCCGTCCAGGCGGGGCTGGCGGGGCTGCAGCGCGTGGAGCGGCATGGTCGGGTGGTGAGAGGGGCTCTGCTTTGCAGGTGGAGCCGCCAGAACTTGCTCCTTGCGCTCCAGGCGGGACCGGGCACCTAGAACAGTTCGCGACCGGCGCACGCAGCCGCCGAGACCTCGCGGAAGCGCCGGGGGTGGGAGGCAATCCCGGAAATGGGTGTGCGCCTCGATGGGGCTCCTGGCCCAGCCCTGAGCTCACCGGTGTCTTGGGCCCGTGCAGGGGCCCCATTGTTAAAATACCGCGAGCTGACGCCACTGAATCACTGGGGCTCCTTCCTTCGAGCCATTTCCAGGGCGGCCCCCCAGGACAGGCCCGAGGGGTCAGGGAGGAAGAGCTGCGTCCCGCGGACACCCTGAAGGCCCCTGCAGGAGCGGGACGGTCGCGCGCGTGGAGGACCCAGGATGCGCGGCCAGGGACCGGAGGAGCCCGGGGGACCCAGCGGACACGGACGCGGGTGGGGCGCGGGGGGCGCGGGGCTGCAGACGCAGCCCGCCCCGCCCCCGTGACCTCTGACCCGGCGCCTCCGCCCGCGGCCGCGCAGGCGGCGTCTCGCGCGTCTCACTGAGGGTCGCCGTCCGCGTGACCTGAGCTCGCGTGAGGAGAGCCTTGCGGTGACACAGTGCAAGGGGCTCGCAGTGGGCAGAGGGCGCCGCGAGGAGGAGACGACGTCCTGCGGCGGCCGCGAGGGCCTGGGGCGGGCCGGGGTCGGAGCAGGGGTGGAGGCGGCGCCTCGCAGGGAGCGAGTGGCCCCGCCGGGCTCAGCGCCCGCCCCGCCGAGGGCTCCCCCCGCCTCCGACCCGCCGTCCTGGCCGCCTTCGGGGCGCGGCTGCCCGCGCAGGAATCCCCGAATTCCAGGAACTCGCCAGAGCCTGGGAAGCGCCTCACGCCGGGCTCCGCCTCCTTCAGCCCGACTCCGTGGACTCCTCTAGGGCCCCATCTGCCTGGGGAGCACCCAGTCCCCGCAGACCCCCGCAGACGCCGCAGCTCCCCACGCCCACAGCCCCAACCCAGCCCCACACTGCCCCCCACAGCCCCAAACTCAGCGTCCCCACAGCCCCAACCCAGCCCCACACTGCCCCCCACAGCCCTAAACTCAGCCCCCGACAGCCCCAACCCAGCCCCACACTGCCCCCCACAGCCCCAAACCCAGCCCCAACCCCCCCACGCCCACAGCCCCAAACTCAGCCCCCCACAGCCCCACCCCAGCCCCACACTGCCCCCCACAGCCCCAAACTCAGCCCCCCACAGCCCCAAACCCAGCCCAACCCAGCCCCCCCACAGCCCCAAACCCAGCCCCACACAGCCCCCCACAGCCCCAAACTCAGCCCCACACAGCCCCAAACCCAGCCCCACACAGCCCAACCCCCCCACGCCCACAGCCCCAAACCCAATACCTGAAAGAAAATGCAGAGTGACAGGGCGTAAGATCGGCTGACAGATTTCAAAGATGGTAAAAATAAAATGTTCACTGCAAAGGCCGAGAACTGCAGTGCATCCGATCCCCATCAGTAGCAGTGGTTGTAAGAAGATGATTGGGAAATCATTTCGAACCTTGTTTTCTACACTAGGCCAAATGATGAATCAAGCACGGGGCAGAAAAAAGATACTGTTAGATCTCCAAGGACTCAGAATACAGAAACCCATCCTCCCCATGCATCTGTTCTCGGATAGTTACTTGAGGATGTATCCCGGCAAAGTGAGAAATCAAGCTAAGAGAAAAACCTGGGATTGACTCTTGAGTGATCCACCAGGGGGTGGTAAAGGGAGGCCGGTGCTGTGCTCCGGCCCAGGGACAAAGAGTGGGGATGGGAACCATGGGGTAGGGGAGGGCAGGGGAGGTCTTGAGAACAAGAGCCACATTATTACTCTGTTATTACTATCATTCTGTTAGTAAGAAGGAAGAAAGGCAATTAAAAGCTATAGGGAAAATGTATATAACAAAATTCAGCTTCAACTAGAAAGCAAACTAACATGGGATAGGAGTTTCAGTTTCTTGAGGGAAGGCAAAATGAGTTTGCCCCATTCGCTCTGGATGCTAAAACTATCTTCCTTGTGTGGTCAGAGAGGGTGGTGGTGGCAATGACTTTAGGCCCAAAGAGAAAGAACTGTCCCCCAGCCCAGTGTTTACCTGTGCAGTGAGTGACGTGACAGTGACATGCCCAGCTGCCCAGGGGTGTAGAGGCGCTCACTGCTGCAGTTCAAATCCACTGGGCTCCACTTTTACCGTAGGCAAAGTTGTGGGACCTAGAAAGAGTGGCGAGCAGGGGCCATCCTACCCTCAGCTTCCATGAAGGGGAGTCAAGACGCAGACCAGAGGTATGGTAGTAAACATAGGGAGTAAGTGCGAGTGTAAAGTTGCAGAGAGAACCTGCCGAAGAGTGAAAACACTCCTCTAATGTAAACATAGGCAGAGGAGGGAGAAGGCGCAGAGGGGAGACGGGAATGGAGGTGATTATAGTTGATACTTGAACGACACAGGGGTTGGGGGCACTGATTCCCTCCCCCATGAAGTGAAGTCAAGAATCCTCACATAACTTTGGACTCCTCAAAAATTTAACTACTGATAGCTTGTTGACCAAAAGCCTTTCTGATCACATAAAGTTAATTAGCACATCTTTTGTATGTGAGATATACTATATTATGCATTCTTACAATACAGTGAGCTAGAGGAAAGTTATTAAGAAAATAATTGTAAGAAAGAGAAAATAGATTTAGTATTCATTAAGTAGGAGTGGATCATTATAAAGGTGTTCATTCTTGTCATCTTCATGTTGAGTAGGCTGAGGAGGAAGAAGAAGAGATGATTTTGTTGTCTCGGGTGTGGCAGAGGCAGGAGAAAATTTCCATGGAAGTGGACCCACGCAGTTCAAACCTGTGTGTTCAAGGGCCACCTGTATTCATCTTTCATACTAGGAAGCCAGTATATATTGTCAAATACTCATAAATCACAAAGTAGGAGAACAAGCATTTTATTGAAGCTGAAGGGAATAACAACAATAACAAAAAAATTAAAAACAAGCTATAAAAGGTTTAGTCCTAAGGTGGTAGAAATGGTGTGTGTGGTGGGGGATAGGTAAAGAGACATTTTATCATTAGGTTTTTTTTTTGGGGGGGGTGGTATTTTTTTAACCTTGTTCATATGTATTACTTTGATTAGAATTCCTGATTTCTAAAAATAAAACCAATAGTCAAATTACTTCTGAAGTCCTTGAACATCATGACTCAATACTCCATAAAATAAACATATTTTACTGTTTCTTTCTTTTTTCTTTTCTTTTCTTTTTTTTTTTTTTTTTGAGATAAGAGTTTCACTCTTGTTGCCCAGGCTGGAGTGCAATGGCTTGATCTCGGCTCACCACAGCCTCCACCTCCTGGGTTCAAGTGATTCTCCTGCCTCAGCCTCCTGAGGGAGTATTACAGGCATGCACCACCATGCCCAGCTAATTTTGTCTTTTTAGTAGAGACGGTTTCTTCATGTTGGTCAGGCTTGTCTTGAACTCCCAAGCTCAGGTGATCTGCCCGCCTCGGCTTCCCAAGTGCTGGGATTACAGGCGTGAGCCACTGCACCTGGCCATCCTGTTTCATTTTAAAAATAATTTTCACTGGCACTTTCTTAGTTTTACAACTGTCACCAACTGTATACAGAGCATGCATTCTTTACCCTAGACATGAAAGGGGGGTGGAAACGCACCATTGCACTCCAGTTTCTAATGCTTACCTAAGGTACAGTGCCAGCTGATGAGAATAATAACTGCCCAGCGCCATCATGTTGAGGCACCTCTGGGTACCAAGACAGGTGACTTTGACTCCTGCCTGACTAATGGCAGCATCCTTACCTATTCTCAGATCAATGAAACGTGCTCTTGCTTTAAAGGCCTCCCAGCAAGGAGCTCAGCCTGTCCCCTCTCCGGCTGAAGCAGTTCTATTTTTATTCCATGCTGTTGGATGGCTCGTGTCCAAGCCAGTGGCTGTGCTCCAGGTGCCAGACTCCCTGGCAGCATCCCTACTATGGGACAAAGCTCTGCCTGGTGCAGGCAGCAGCCTGGTCACAGCCTGATCACAGGCTGGTCACAGGCCTGTCACAGACATCTGTGCACATTTCAGCCCGCCCATTGTAGGGATAGCCTGCAGGCCTCCCTGAACCTGGCCAAGCCCAATAACATGCAGGAACCACATCTGTGAACCATGTCACAGATTGTCAAATTGTCAGACATTTCACACCTAGAGTGAATACAGAGAAAACAAGCCCCAGTTTCCCACCACTCAGTTCTAGTACAGGCAGACCTCAGAGAGATCCACCCTGCAGTTGCTGCTATCTGGGGAAGTTCCTGAGCAATAAATGGCTCTGAGAAGGCGGAACAGTGGCTGCCCTGGGAAAATACTCCAACCAAGAATGGGCTCCAAATGTCTCGGTACCAAAAAGGCTTTTGTTTCAAAATGTGTGCTTGTTTTTATGACTGTTCAGTACGTGCCTCGGTGCATTCATTTCACGCCTCCCTCCCCCCAGTCTATAATACAGAAAACAAATGTTCATCAGGAAATGCCAGCTGGTGTCGGGGTAGCTTCAGGAAAAACGATGTCTGATCGACTGCAATGCCTGTATTTGTTAGTAATACTTTACATTTCATGGTGATTTTCATTTACCCTATGAACAGGTAACCACAGGCCGGGTGAGGTGGTTCACTCCTGTAATCCCAGTACTTTGGGAGGCTTAGCGGGTGGATCACCTGAGGTCAAGAGTTTGAGACCAGCCTTGCCGACATGGTAAAACACAAAAATTAGCTGGGTATGGAGGCAGACATCTGTCACACCAGCTACTCAGGAAGCTGAGGCAGGAGAATTGCTTGAACCTGGGAGGCAGAGGTTGCAGTGAACCGAGATCATGCCACTGCACTCCAGCTTGGGTGACAGCTGGGCTACAGAGTAACAGACTCCATCTCAAAAAGCAAAACAAAATGGGTAATCACATAGGAACAGCGTACAGCCTGGATGCAGCGCTAGTCTACCCGTGGGTGAGGCTGACATGTGGCTACACCAGCTCATTTTCTTTTTCTTTTTTTTTTTTTTTTTGAGATGGAGTTTCACTCTTGTTACCCAGGCTGGAGTGCAATGGCACGATCTCGGCTCACCGCAACCTCCGTCTACTGGGTTCAGGCAATTCTCCTGCCTCAGCCTCCTGAGTAGCTGGGATTACAGGCACGCGCCACCATGCCCAGCTGATTTTTTGTATTTTTAGTAGAGACGGGGTTTCACCATGTTGACCAGGATGGTCTCGATCTCTTGACTTCGTGATCCACCCGCCTCGGCCTCCCAAAGTGCTGGGATTACAGGCTTGAGCCACCGCGCCCGGCCACCACCTCATTTTCAAATGAGCTTGCACTGTGGCCCCTCCCTTCCACATGTGGTGGCTAGCACAGGGTTCCGGCCAGACCCCCACCCCAGCAGCCACCTCCTCCAACAACTGCAAGCTTCCCATTGCCTCTGATGAGGACATCACCTGCGCTGGGGGCAGCCAGGGGCAGTTAGTATTTACTGGGGACTTAAACGGGCTCTGCTACCAACACCTGCCTTCCTACTCCCCAGGGCCCCGGGACCTGTCCCCAGTGCAGCACACTTTGGGTCAGTGCCTATGGTAAGGTGGAGCAACTTTGGTAGCTAGAACAGGGGTGTTTAGATTCTAGACTCTAGGCTGAAGGGTGAGGCAAGCAGGGTATCCGGGGTTCAAACAAGCGGTGGCTTTGATCCAGGAAAAGGAAGTCCAGGTGTTTCTGTGGGACTCTGAGGGAAAGGTGCTGTGCCCTTTGAGGGAATCTGTCATCACCACATCCTTTCTCCTCCATGCTCTTTGGGATGGACGGAGGGGAAGCCAATAGTAGTACCCACTGTCTTCAAGAGCTCTTCTGCAAAGCCTTCCTTCCAGAATAGGACCCGCTAAGTTCCAGGCAAGCTTCAGTCCCTCAGTCAATTGCAACTGCTTGAGTTTGTTCATTTCAGTTCCCTTCCCCTCAGAGCCTCTGTAAGACATGCCCTTCAAAGAAACTGGCTCTAGCAAATAAAATAATGAATCATAAATTTTATTTCAAAATGTAAACGTCACTAAACATGCATACACGTTAAAACAATAAAATTTACAATTTCGTTAATTTTTCTTTTTGCATAGGACATCATTACAATATAGAATCTATGCCATACAAAATACATACAAAGTTTAATCCGAGCAAGCCAAGGCCAGACTGGGAACTGTACAACTGTAATACTTCACTGTAGTGATCCAGAAAAGATGAAACGTGGCCTTCGGGATTATAGTGGGTGCTGGTTAAAAAAAAGTTCCTACGGAAACGAAAAACATGAGCTCCATGGAAATGGTCTTGGACCCTTGGATTCTGCCTTGGGCTTTTGGCAAACGATTCCAGAGAAGCTCCACCAATGGCTTTGGATGGGAAGGGGTTGCCTGTGCGGGCCTGGGGCAGCTGAGACCCAGAAGCATGCACCCAACACAGGCACACAAGCAATTCCTAGTCACGAAGGAACCACCACAAGCCCCAGACCCGACAATGACAATGCATAGTTGCTCAGGAGAGCCTCCCTCCTGCTGAGGCTGACCAGCCTGAGGCCCCAGCACTCCGCACCAGGGGCCCCTCCAGGGAGAGGCCAGGGAGCAGTCTCCCACTCACACACCCAGAAGCAGGCACCTGGACCTGGCACAGATGCTGGAGCTGATGAGCCCACGTGGTGTCTAGAGCCACATGGGAGGTGGCCCCTCACTCCTCTCAAGGTAGCCAGGTACAGTGGCTCCTGCACCGAGTGTGTAGCCTCGGTCATTCAGCTCACACACCTGCTTTCCAAATGAGCACGCAATGTGGCCTGTCCAGGGGCCCTCTAGGAAGAGGCCAGGGAGCAAGGACCCTGAGGCCTGAAGAAAGTAGTTCCCTTGCCACACCACCCGCCCACCCCTGCCCGGAATGTGTGACTTGTAGGGTTGGGGACGCTACTTCTCTCCCATCCAGTTCCTTTTTAAATAAAAGTAGTAAAGTTTTTAAAGCTGTATGAGAAAGAGAGAGGCAGGGCCGGGCCAGGCAGCTGCACTGCAAGTCCGAAATCTTCATGGGAGTGAGTAGAAACCAAACGCGGCTCCTCTTCCCTCGTGGACCGGGCTCCCATCTCCTGCCGAATTCAACTCTTCTGATGCCGAGGGAAAGAACAGCAGGCGGGAGGTGGCGCCTCACCCTAAAGGGTGCTCAGGCATGTCAGTAGTAAGCTGGACTGTGCATCCACGTTCTGGTACAAAGGTCTCTGGAATGTGTCTCAGACAAGCCTTCAGAGCCTCAGAATCAGGAAAATTAGTCATAGGACCTGGTTCTCCCTGGGTTAATCCTGAATTCAAAAACCATCAGCCTACACCTCAGATTTTAGCTTTGGAAAATATGGTGACCAGAATTGTATACGGAAACAGCAAAAGATGTAGATAACCTACAAAGCAGTTCTTACTGGTTGCGATATGATCAACACATCAACATACCTTTTAAACCTAGCGCTGAGTCTGACTAAATGACCTTTTTTAAATGGGGGGAAAAAATCAGTGACATCTGTCGGAAGTCAAAATGGTCAGGTAGCCCTGCAAACACAGCCACAACCAGTAGCAGAGAAACAAGGCCACACTATTGCTCAGATCACATCTTCCTGTTGGGGGGCACCCCTACCCGGCTGAGATCCTGAATGGGTCCCTAGGGAGCACCAGGATCCTGTGCAGTCCATCTTAGCACCTGCTTCTGGCAAGAAAGAGGCTGGTTTTCTGGACACACCGTGCAGGGAGACAGAAGACTTGAGGTCAAGTCTTGAGGCAGAGTGGCCAGCCCTCTCTGCCCATCCCCACCTTTGAATGACCCCTCACTGGTCTGAGCTGTGCTCTGGATACAGCAGGGCCTGGGGTCGCCATGCCTCACATTTGTACCTGGAGGCTGCACCACGGCGAATCCGGCACCTGCCTCGGTGTGGGGCCTGGGAAACAAGTCAGGGTTGGGAGTGAGGGGATCTTGCACTCGAGAGTCGTGGGTGGGGGTGCAGCAGAATGCAGGCAGGGCTCCTCCAGGACCCTGTTCCCATCCAGGACATCTCCGCATGTTCCTATGTAGCACCCTGCAGGACAGGACCCCAGGGCTCTCTGAGTAAAGGGCTGTGTCCGTCTGTTTTCCTGTATGGCTGTAGGATCCAGTAGGCATTTGGGGAGCTGAGAGCCATTCCCCTAATATGGCTGATGTAAAGAGGGGCTTTCTTATCTGGGACATGAGCAATACCAGCCCCCGATGGCTGAGCCTGAAGTCAATTTAGGCCCTTTATAAGGGAGCTCTCCCTTCACTCAGGCAACCTTCATTTTGAGATCTCTGCCCCTATGGACCACCAGAACTGAAGTCCCAAAATAAGGGTTGGAGTTTTCAGTATTATTTCTATGAGTCCTGATTCCTTAACCCCATCAAAACTGGCAAGCATGGCCATAAACCACAAAAATGGAAGACGCTGAAATAGACGCAGGCTGGGAAGAAAACATTCTGCATGTTTGAAGAAAATGAAGGCTGTTTCAGGAGGGCCGCCCTGTGTGCCCGCTTCAGTGGAGGCAGTGTTCCAATGCCCACCACCCTCTTCTACGGGCATCCCTCACTTCATGATGAGATGGAAATCTGCCCATGAGGACCCCGGTGAACTGCTCCTGAGATTCATGGATTTCTCCCCGCCCTTCAGGTGAGATGAGTTTAAGCTCCAGATGATTCAGGAGGGTCTGGCCAGGAGGACCCCTCAGGATTTCTCTCCTGGTGCCCTCCCCTCATTTCCCAGTCCAGGCCGGGGCCTAAGGACCACACCCTGCCATTAAACGAGAACCGCTTTGGGAATGAAGACACACTCTTACGCCAAAAATAGCCAACGCCTGCATATTTCTGTTTTAAGGCAATGTTACCCTTCCATCTATCAGACGGAACAGCCCTGGGTCATTTAAAGGAAAAATTAAATTAAGTGCTCTCTTTGGAAACAGCCAACACCCGCTTCCCTCCCCCACCCCCCACCCTGCTCTAAAACAAACCAGCTCTTCTTTTTATTCCAAGATGACTAGGTTTAGAGTCCTATCTTTTCCTTCCTATGTGCAGACAGATGTGAAGCTAGAAAATCTCCTGCCGTGACACCCTGGGCAGATCACAAGGACGACTGTCCCCTCCCTGGAGAGCACTTTGCCGGCCTCCCAGGGACGGGCTGCTCCCTCTCCCTGCCTTTGGGAACGGTGGACGGTGAGTGCACCAAAGGACTTTGGAATAAAATTCCTGAACCTGGAATGTGAATTCCTGAGACATGAAATGTATTCGGAGTGTGGCTTTCTCTGCCTCACACGGAAACAACTTTGGGAGAGACCTCACTTTGGAACTGGGCATGGAGATCTTTGCACCACAGGCACCCAGGGCTCTCTTCTGTCACGGTCCCTTCCACTCTGTCTTCCAGACCCGCCGCAAGCAGGGCTGTCGGGGAGCCCAAACACAGCACGGCAGCCAGAGTGGCCAGCTCTGTATCCAACCAGAGCGGGGGTGACCCTCTCCCCACCAGTTCCCACCGCAGCAGGAATAATGCTGCTGCCCAATTCAGGGTCCATCGTGCCACCTGGAAGCTACTACCATGCTGCGGGCCAATGCCAGCTGACACACAGTAGTGAGAAACGGGCACCTGACGCCAGACTGTGCCTGCGCAGCTGCTGTGACAGAGGGCACTCGTCCCCTCTGGAGCCAGCCCAAACAGTGGCCAGCGGCTGGGCCTGGGTCCCGGGTTTGTGCTGCATCCCACACTGGTGGGGCCGGGTAGAAGCAGGATGGCCACGACCAAGGCACACTGGGCCCAGGAAGCCCACCTGTGGCCCTCTGAGGTCCCAGGGCCATTCCTTTGCATCAAAATAGGTACTCATCAAAACGGGTATCTCTGACGAGATACCCTGAGTCCACCCCAATCCCCCCACCCCCCAGCACACATGCGTGTGTGCACGCGCACACATGCATGCACGCACGCACACACACAGATACGTACATGCACGCAACACACACAGATGCGCACACGCACGCACACACGCACGCACACACACACTGTCCTTGGGCCCTTGCATTTACAGGCCCCAACTCTGAGGAAGAAGGGAGGGCGGTACCTGGGCCACAAGCCTGGGGTCAACACTCCAGCCATCTGCAGAGGAGCTTGCTGGACCACAGCTTGACTGACCTGCCCAGTGCTCAAACCCAGGCCCTGGCTCTCTGCTCCTTCTCTCCTGCCAGGAGAAGGCTGGCGATGGGGCACCAGAGCAGCCACACCAGCTGGGTGTGGCCTGGGGCCTCCAGGCAGGGCAGGGAGAAGCAGGAAGAAGAGGGAGGAAGAGTCCAGGGGACACGGAGACGCTGGAGGTTTGCTAAGTCTGAGTTGGGGATGTGGTGGGTCTGAGAAAAGCGTCTCCCACAACTTTCCATCTGGCGTTCCCTGGGGAGGAAGCAGAATGCACGCTCTCCAACAGCATTTCCTGTAACATCCGTGCCACTCCTGAAAAGGTCCAAGTCACAATGTTCCGGTCTCTTGCTACCGAATGTTCTCCGTGAAGCACGGCGCACTGCCACATGCACAGCCGCGCACACAGACCCTCTGATGAGGAGGCCCAGGACCTGCCCACCGTTTCCAACAAAGGTGCCCAGGCGGGAGGACTCCGGAACTGCATGTGCCACCAGGAATTTCTGACATCTTTTTAGAAGCCCAGAATTCCTCATCGGAGGCCCAGGTATGGTAGTGATGGGGTCCCGCGTGCCTTCCATAGGGACACCAAGAAGTGGTGTCCCGGCAGGTGTGACCCGGCCCCTGCCTCAGAGGAGGCCGGATGGTGCAGCGCTGCTTTCGGCCAGGGCTCGCACCTCTGCTTCCAGTGCTCCCGAGTGCCCTAGGAGAGGGCTCCTGGAGGCGAGGAGGGAGGCAGGCAGGGTGCAGAGGGCTGAGAGCCCACTCCACAGTCATCCAGGTGGAGTGCTCCTCCGGCCCGGCACAGCTTTAAGGCTTCCCTTTGCAGGGGCCTGTCCCTCAGAATCAGCTGCGCTGCAAGTCCGGCCGGGCCTGTGCGGCAGAGGCCGGAGGCTGGGTAGGGCGGGCAGGGAGAGCTCGGGCCCGCTGCTTAGGAATCTGCCGCGGAAGCACAAACGTCAGTGACCACGTCTGCTCCCAACAGACCCACAGGCTGGCCAGCCAGCCAGATGCTGAGCTCCAGACTGGCCGGCCTGCTCTGTCCCCAGTGTGTCCCCGGACCTAACAGAAAACTCCAGAGTGCAAATCTATGTACAGAGTAAGGCGGCAGGAAGGGGTGTCCTCACTGACCTCGTGGAACGTGTCCATCCCTGAGAAAGGGGGTTCAACACCGCTGAATCTCAACTTTGTGGGTCTATCTATTGTGCAATTGGTGGGTGGTGTTTTGACATTTTTGTGGGTTTTTTTTTTTTTAGACAAATTTACTTTTGACACCTGAGGTGAAGAAAATTCTTTTTTTGTGGACTTCGCATCGAGTTCTCTCTTCTTACTACGAAAGGAAAGGCCAGGGACTCACGAGGGGGCGGGAGCGGCTGCTCATGGCTGTGGCGGGCTCAGGGCGAGCTGGCCGGGCTGATGGTGGGGCTGCTGGCGTCGGAGCGGCTGTAGTCGCTGAGCGAGCCGGTCCGCGAGCCCCCGCCGCGCCGCTGCAGCATGCCGGGGTGGAAGTTGGCGTGGCGGCGCGCGTGCTTGGTCAGGTGGTCGCTGCGCATGAAGCGCTTCTCGCAGATGGGGCAGCTGAACTTCTTCTCGCCCGTGTGCGTGCGGTAGTGCCGCGCCAGCTCGTCGGAACGCGCGAACTTCTTGTTGCAGTCCTGCCAGCTGCAGGCGAAGGGCCTCTCACCTGTGGGCACAGGGGCAGAGCGTCAGTATCTGGCCTGTCCCCACCTGCACACCCTCTCTGGGAAAGTGGCCACGACGCTCAACAGCCCAGCCTCTCATCACCCCTCCCACGTGCCCCACCTCCGAGAGCTTCTGCGACAAATTCCTCAGAGCAGAGATGAAGGTGGGCCCTGCCCTCCCACCCACGCCTGGGATGGAGGAAGAGGAAACGGCCTAGGATAAAACAGGATTGCAGGTGCTGAACTGCAGGGCCCAGGCTCCTGGCCATGGACTCCCTAAGTACCCCACAAAGCAGGAAGCACCACACACCAGGCAGGGCCAGCGGTCCCCAACGCATGGGGATGACAGGCCCAGGCCCTGGCTTCACAGGCCTCCCGGCGTCCAGGCACCCCTGCTGCGCACGGGAGCCACACTCTGGACCTCTGCAGGACAGGAAGATAATTCTCCATCTAGTCTGCAACACGAGAGGGTCAGCCTCAGGGATCTCCAGGGCCTGGAATTCTACAATCAGTCTGCCACTCCTTCTCTCATGCAAGTCCCAAAGTGGCCAACCAGGGTTGGCTGGCAGGCCAGGAAAACGAGACAGGTTCCCACAGACCCAAGCGTGGCGACAGGCAGCAGCCCAGAGCACCCCATCAGGCGCCTGTGCAGGTGGGGAGGAGGCAGAACACAGTGGGGACGGGAGGTGACGAAGGTGGGCTACACCCAGGATGCTGCTCCCTCCTTCCCATCCCTCACTCAGAGCAGGAGACAGGCCAGTGTTTACCCTTGCCAGACATCAACCACAAAAATGGTATCAACTGCTCAGGAAGAACCAGGGTGGGGGACTCTGGCACCCCAGAAAGCAGCCCTCTGGCATTAGGGGTGGCCGCAGGGCTGCCCTTCCTACCTGGCCTCATCCCTTCTCACCCCCCATATCCATAAGGCTGGATAAACTTCAGGACACAGTAAAGGCACATTATTACTCTTTATTTAAAAGAAAAAAAGAGGCAATTAGAAACTCCAGGAAAAATAGAAGACATACCAAAAAAAATGTGTGCTTCAAACGAGATGTAAACTAAAATGCCACATGATGATGAGTCAAGAGCTCCGAGCCAAGCTCAGTTCTAGGGGTTTTTCCTATGCTCTATTACTTATCCTTCACAACAAGTCTACGAGGTAGTGGCAGGAAACGTAATCCCAGCACAGGCCCTGCCGATGGAGACTTTACACAGTGTGGTCCTGCTAACCTTAGCACTAGCTGTCAGTGTTTTAGAACCAATCCTATAAACAAAGGCCACACAACGGACCTGTGGGCCCAGAAGAGAACATGGATTTAAGAGAAAAGTGGGAATGCACTCCGAGAACAAAGGACGTGTGTCAGTGAAACACAGAGGTTTAAAATTACAAGGATGGTCAACAAAGTAAGTAAAATAATACATCCATCAATAAGAGTTGGAGGGGAGGGATAGGAGTGAGGTAAATCCTTAAATTTCATGGCAGGAGGGTAACAGAGAATACCTAAATTTGGTAAATCAAGAAACAGTAATAAAATACAGTTCATTATGGCAGTAACCATCAAGACAACTAAAAGCAGAAAAGAAGTATTGTTCTCTAGGGAGTGGGGCTGGACTGGTGAGACCATGTTTTTTGTTGCAAGCTCTCTGTATTATGGGTATGTATCTATCTATGTATTCACCTACTTACCCTACCTACCTACGTATCTACCTAATCTGAGACAGTCTTGCTCTGTCACCCAGGCTGGAGTGCAGTGGTGTGATCTTGGCTCACTGCAACCTCTACCTCCTGGGTTCAGGCAGTTTTCTTGCCTCAGCCTCCTGAATAGCGGGGATTACAGGTGCCCATCCGCGCCCGGCTAATTTTTCTATTTTTAGCAGAGACAGGGTTTCACCATGTTGGCCAGGCTGGTCTTGAACTTCTGACCTCAAGTGATGCATCCTCAGCCTCCTGAAGTGCTGGGATTATAAGCGTCAGCCACATGTCCAACTTGGGTCTTTTAAAAAAACACGTATTTGTTTCTTTCATAACAATAAAAAGAAATATTTAATTCTTTATATGTCTAGTCCAATATTTCCCAAAACATGTTGTTCAAAGAAACATTATCATTGTATAAAGCTTCATCAGTTCCAGAATAAAAAATTTTGTCAACCAAAGAGTGAAAATGTTGGAGATTCAGAATGCCTACTGTCATTAAAAGCCTGGGGAAGCCCAGCATTAAATAAATGGTTTAGTATTAGCCATGTCAGGTCTGACAGATGAGGTTCAGACCCTGTTTGCACTGAGTTGTGACAGTATGGCCCAAACAAATTCCTTGCTGCCTGCAGTAGGGCAGATAATGGTCCCCAAAAAGACAGAGCCAAGTCAGGACCCCCAGAACCTGTGCATGTGATCTTATTTCGAAAAAGGTCTTTGCATATGTCATCAGGTAAGGATCTGCACAGCAGCTCCCAAGTGTGGAGGGTAGGGACGAGGGGAGGGAGCGAGTGAGAGGGGAAAGGGAGCAAGAGCGAAGGGGGAGAAAGTGGGCAGGGGAAGGAAGGGGAGGCAGGGAGTGGATTCTCCCTCAGAGCTTTGGGAAGAAACTAACCCTGCCAACACCTTGATTTCAGGCTCCTTGCTTCTGGAACCGCAAGAGAGTGAGTTTCAGTTGCTTTTCAGCCACCCAGTTTGTGGCAATGTGTGACAGCAGCCTCAGGAAGTAAGCACGCTGCCCCATCCTCCTGGGGGTCGACACAGGCACGTCTCAACCCAGTGCCTGGCACGTTCCAAATGTGCACTCCTGAAATCTCCGCTGTTACTGTTGCTCTTAGTCATTAGCCCTGCCAAATGGGTCTCCCCAGATTTGGGCCTGTCGGGAGGCGGGGAGGCCAACCCAAATTCGGACTGAGCCCTTGTGAGGAGCCTTGTCCTTTAGCTCCTTCTGCCTGCGGGCCGGGGAAGCATGTGAGGTGCGCACAGCTACAGGTGGGCCACATGATGCCGCAGAGAACTGCAGCATCCACGGACGGGACGCTGGTGCCAGGTGGCCTGGAGCAGAAGCAGGTGGTGTCCGGCACAGCCACTCCACCAGCACAGCGCTCAGCCTCCCTGTATGTCAAGAGCTCTGTGCTATGACAGGACAGGGCACATAGGGGTGCCTGGCCCAGAGACATGGTCCTGACCCAGGCAGATGCGGCCCCCACGGCGGCTCCATCCTCTGTTCCTCCGGCCAATGAACTGGCCCCCAAACTCGAGTTATGGCTCAAACTGACAAGACCAGCACTGGGTCTGGCTGGGTCTCCTGGTGGTGACACTCAGGCAGCACCCAGGAGGCTGACAAGGAGCAGCCCAGAGAGGGGAACAGATGGGAGCATGAACAGGGAGCAGCATGCCAGGCGCTTTCACCCACATGGTCCGCAAGGAGCCCCAGGAGCTTTCGTGTATGTGGGTGAGAGCCCCTGCTATTCATCATATTCAAAATTCGAAATCAAAACAAGGTCTTCCACCAAGCCACATTCCAGTCACTCTGAGAGGGACAGTGCCCTCACACCTCCCTATAGCACCTGCAATATACTACTGCACTCTCTGGGAGCACGAGGGAAACAGTGCTATTGTCATGAAAACAGTTTTGAGCTTGAGGCCCCACACGTGGCCTCCAGATTCACTCTAAAACCTGTTCTGGGGACACACCCACAGCAGCGAGCACAGCAGGGCACCCCGTGAGGTGGGGGACAGCCAGCCCCACCCTTCAGAGAGTGAGCCCAACTCCCATTCTAGGGCAAAGGGAGCCCATCGACTCAACAAACCAAGCACCCTCCATTCTGGGCTCAAATCCTGCATCTGCCTCCTCCCGGGCCTGTGATACAGTATGACAGGGACTCACAAGGACAGGGCTCCCTCTAGAACCCGTAGGAGATTCCAGACCCCTGCAGAGGAGCTCCCAGCCTTCCTGCTGGATCCTGGAGCTACTCCAGCTCCCCAAGTGGGGGTCTCCAGGGTCCTGGCTGTGTGTGCCTGCTCCTGTGCACAGGGCGGGGCCCTGGGACAAGGCGGGATTAGGCCTTGTGAGGAGGACACCGGGTGAGAGGAGGGAGGCTGGGGTTAAGCCTGGAGAGGGGCTAGGTGCCCAGGAGCCTGGAAGGGAGGCTGCAGGAGGGCTGGGGGGACAGTGGGAAGCTGGGGGAGGGGCCGGGCCAGGCCAGGCTGGGGCTTGGGGGTCCTGTGGGTGCCAGGCAGGGAGGAACTCTTCGGTGTCAAGCTGCATGGCTGGGGATGCAGGGTGGGGGGCCTCGCGAAGTTGTGGGGAGAGTGGGGGTTGGGTGGGGCGGCTGCTCAGGGCTGCGAGTTACATAAATGTTCCCTGGCGCCACAGCGAGGCCATGAGTGGAGCAGCGCCGAGAGTGAGAGCAGTTGCCTCATCTTATCAGGGAACACAGCGTCCCACAAGCTGCTCCTGCCCAACCCGCAGGCCCGGGCGGGACAGCATGTTCCCTCAGAGAGCCAGCCCGGAGGGGAGCGCAGGGCTCTCTCTCCTCCATTCAAGCCCCCCATCCGCCTCAGCACCCACGCCACAGGCCCTCCCCACTCCCCAACAGCAGCCACGTGCTAGTGCAGCCAGCTCAGGAGCATGCACGCTCCAGCTCAGAGCCCGGCTCAGACTTGGGCTGTGGCATGAACTCTACTCTGCTCTGCCCTCCTGCGCAAAGGGCACGCTCCAAGTTACCTCCTGCCATCCAGCCTTTACCAAACTGCTACCCACCAGCCCACAGGTGAATGGGCCCCTCCTGACTCCAACTGCACCTGTATAAACAACACTGAACATCTTTCTGTGAACCTCCTGTGGGAAGCCTGTTGTGGGGTCATTTTTCCAACATTCCCAATGCACCAAGCTGGGGTCAGAACAGCGTTTGCTGCAAGGGCCTCTTCTGCTCGCCTCCTGCTGAGTATTCTCTGGGAAGCCCTGCTGAGCTCCCCTTCATGGAAGGGAGAAACAGAGATGCAGCTCCTCCCGGGAGGTCCTAG